CTTTAGTAAGTGACAGAACAAACTGGTACCTCATACTGTGGAATACCACCCAGCAATAGAAAGGGCAAACATGGATGCAGGGAATAACCCAATCTGTGGAGTGAAAAAAGCCAACCTCAAAAAACCTATATGATCGATTTCCATACCAGAACTAAAGCCCTGGAGAACAGAGTAGTAGATCAGTGTCTACCCCAGTTAGGGACCAAGGACTGACTACAAAGGTGTAGCAACTATAAAGGGAGCACTAGACAGCTCCTGCGTGTGATGGGACAGTTCTCCATCTTGACTGTGGTGGTGGTGACACACATCTGTACACAAGATAAGACAGCACAGCACCACATGTACACCCAAATGCATGCAAAGTTCTGTGATCTGAATAAGGTCTCAAGGGTGTACTGATGTCAATTTCCTGGTTTTGCTATTATAATCTAGGTACACGAGATGTTACCACTAGGAGAAGCTGGAACAAGGCTACGGGACCCCTCTGTTACCTTTTTTTTTTTTTTTTACAATTTCCTGGGAGTCTATAATTATTTCAAAATAAAACATTTCGGGATCCCTGGGTGGCGCAGTGGTTTGGCGCCTGCCTTTGGCCCAGGGCCGGATCCTGGAGACCCGGGATCGAGTCCCACGTCGGGCTCCCGGTGCGTGGAGCCTGCTTCTCCCTCTGCCTGTGTCTCTGCCTCTCTCTCTCTCTCTCTGTGACTATCATAAATAAATTCAAAAAAAAAATTTCAAAATACTTTTTTTTTTAAAAGGATCACATATTGTGTAGCATGTATTAAATGTCCAGAAAAGGCAATATAGAGGCAGAAAACATCAGTGATTGCCTGCAACTAGAGGGTAGAAGCAGTGACACTGAACAGGCAGGAAGGAACTTTCTGAGGTGATAGAAATGGTCTAAAATGAAATTGCAGCAATGGTTACACGATCTTTTTGTGATTTTTACTAAAAAAAACCAATGAACTGTACATTACAATGGATGAATTTTATGGTATATAAAATATAACTTAATAAAGCTGATTTTCTTTAATGAAGCTGATTTTTTAAAAAGCAATATTAACATACAGTTATACCAGAATTATCCAAAGGCCTCCTCAAGTAATCTTACCTGAGACTCCTTTAAGGCTTGCTTTCCCCACCAAATTGGGTTGGTATCAAGGACGATAACTAGAAGATTCAATTCATCTTCTGAAAATATTAACAAAAAATAAAAACATTAACCTCATGAAATCATAGGCAAACCAACATCCCAATTTGTAAATTATAACCACAGCAAGAACCACTGCATGCCTTTAGATGTTTACCATCCTATAATCCTGAAATTAACCAAAGGCCAAGTGCTTTTAATGACTGAAAGCTCTCTGGGCCCTCAGCAGGCTCTTGCTTGCTTTCTATACCACCACATCTTTCGTGCACTAGAATGTAAGCTCCGGGGCGGGGGGGCGGGGAGGATCTTGTCTGTCTTATTGCTTATCTTCTGCTCCTGGTACAACCACCCAGCATGAGGTAGATGCTCAATAAATACCTATTAAATGCACCCAAATATTCACATTTTTTTAAAAGATTTTATTTATTTATTCATGAGAACACACAGAGAGGATTGAGAGAGAGAGGCAGAGACACAGGCAGAGGGAGAAGCAGGCTCCATGCAGGGAGCCAACGTGGGACTCGATCCTGGGTCTCCAGGATCACGACCCAGGCTGAAGGCGGCACTAAACCGCTGAGCCACTCAGGCTGCCCCAAATATTCACATTTTAAATGCAGTCAAGGACAGAATGCACAGACTAGCCAGTTAATATTCAACAGCAGAATTTCAGAGACACAAGGAGGCTGAAGGGAGACACAGGAATAAGTCTAGCCTCAAGCCCATCAAACCACCTCGCAGCAAGGCCAATGGTGATCAGGAACCACTTTTTAAAAGGTGAAAACCAAAGAGAGAAAAGCAATTGCTATGTAAAGATTTTACTGTGAAAAGGAATAGACTACTCTCCAAAGTTAGACACAACTGTACAGGCTAACAACACATTAATTCATTCAACATTTACACTAAATACCAGTGTTAGAAGCTGGGGATACTGAGTTCAAGCCCTCAAGGAGTCTAAATTCTAACTGAGGTGACAGATTTACGAACCTATAAGCACAGCTGTTAAGAAAAACCCAGGGTGCTCCTTTAATAGCAAAAAGCAATAATGTATTTCCTGCCCCCACACCTTCCTTCCTGCAGTCCCACCTCCTACATCAGATAATCCCCACTCCATGGTAGATTTGTTCTCAAATCCAAATCCTATGTCCTCTACAAAGCACCAAACCAATGCTACTTCTTTCTTCCAAAAATCCTCCCCAGGACTTCCAACAGGTCCTGGCTCCCCCACCTGAAAACAGCAATGTGAACCTTGTCTGCATCAGCATATGTAATCCTATAATCCCATTTCATGCTGACAACAAACTACTGATGGAAATACTACTGTCATCTTCCATCAATTATGACAGGGACTCTCTCTTTGTTTTTATCAGTTGCTGAAATCAGGATGGTGTCTTACAATTAAGACTAGCAGCATGTCTCTTAGTGGCACCCTAAACAAAAACAGATCTCATAATTGATACTGTCTTAGATAACTCAGATGACACAAATATGGCATTCTTATTTTCAAATGAAAGTAACTTGCTCTAAGTCACATGGCTTGCTAGCAAGTGGCAAAACTCCCTGCTATGGAGACAGATCTACTTGACTATAAAGACTGGCTTTTCAATAACCCATTGTCCACTTCTGATCCTCTTAGTATGAATCATCTCATTTTACAGTTAGTTGTCTTTCTTTTTTTTTTTTTAATTTTTTATTTATTTATGATAGTCACAGAGAGAGAGAGAGAGAGAGGCAGAGACACAGGCAGAGGGAGAAGCAGGCTCCATGCACCGGGAGCCCGATGTGGGATTCGATCACGGGTCTCCAGGATCGCACCCTAGGCCAAATGCAGGCGCCAAACCGCTGCGCCACCCAGGGATCCCGTTAGTTGTCTTTCTGATCTCTCTTGCCAGCTCTGCTAAAACTAGTCCACTAGACTGTGGCCTCATTACAGAATGAGGATTTTTGCGAATCCTGGGATGAAATAACAAGTGCAAATCACACATACACACACACACACAAAAAGTGCAAATCACACACACAAAAGTGCCTAACACAGAAGCAGCATTTAATAACTGTGTCTTTCACTCCTCTACCCTCAAGCTCACAATCCTTTGGCCTTATTCTCCATGAGCCCCACCCTACAACTCTAGGGTCAGCCAGTCCTTGCTACTGCCCAGAAGCCTGAGAAAAAAATAAAGTATTGCCTAACAGGGGAGATGAGTACCCACACACACAGACTGCCTGGTCAACTTCCTTCTTTGAGTCTCTACACCATCATTTGTAGACAAGGCCCATGCCAGGCCTGCCTCTCTCACAGGACTGTGGTATGTATTGAAAAAGAAGTGATCTCCCTATTTCCACTCTTGCTCCCTTATCCACACCGCAGCCAAAGTGATCTTTTAAAATTAGGCAATTCTGTGGATCCCTGGGTGGCTCAGCAGTTTGGCGCCTGCCTTTGGCCCAAGGCACGATCCTGGAGTCCTGGGATCGAATCCCACATCGGGCTCCCGGCATGGAGCCTGCTTCTACCTGCTCCTGTGTCTCTGCCCCTCCCTCCCTCTCTCTCTCTCTCTCTCTCTCTCTGTCTATCATAAGTAAAAATAAATAAATAAATCTTCAAAAAATAAAGTAATAAAATTATGCAATTCTTTAAAATAAATAAATAAATAAATAAATAAATAAATAAATAAATAAATAAATAAATAAATAAAATTATGCAATTCTTTGCTTAAGACCCTACAATGGTTTCATATTACACTTAAAAACAAAGTTCAGGGATCCCTGGGTGGCGCAGCGGTTTGGCGCCTGCCTTTGGCCCAGGGCGCGATCCTGGAGACCCGGGATCGAATCCCACATCGGGCTCCCGGTGCATGGAGCCTGCTTCTCCCTCTGCCTGTGTCTCTGCCTCTCTCTCTCTCTCTCTCTCACTGTGTGCCTATCATAAATAAATTAAAAAAAATAAAATTAAATTTAAAAAAATCAGGCTCAAGATGCCTGGGTGGCTCAGTTGGTTAAGCTCTGCCTTCAGCTCAAGTCATGATCTCAGGGTTCTGGGATCCAGTGGCGCATGTGTCTCCCTGCTCCGCAGGGAGTGTGCTTCTCCCTCTCCCTCACCCCCCCTCCTCTCCCTCACCCCCCCTCCTCCCCGCTCACGGGTGCGCGCACTCTCTCTCAAATAAATGAAATCTTCAAAAAAAAAAAAAAAAAGACAGCAGGCTCTATAGCTGGTAGTTTAATGTATGAATGAAAGACTCTCCATCTTCTTCTACCCTCAAGTTCGCCTTTTCTTAGTGTAATGCAACGGCTCAACTCGCCACAGCGCCTTTGCACGCTCACTGGAGACTCCCTCTCAGTACCTGGACTCTAATGTAAACATAGCTCCTCCTTGGTCATCCCCTAATGACAGTACTGCAGCATCCCAGTATATTGTCTTCACAGCTCTTGTCACCCTTCGAAAGTATTCTTATTTACTTAACTACTGTCTGCCTCGCCCACTGGACTGCAGCCTCCACGAAGGCCCTGACTGCCATGGTCTCTGCTGTATTCCCCAGCGCATACAACAACGCCTGGCACACCGGAGACCATTCAAAACTATTTACTGAATAAAATGACACATCTGCTACTCCTCTAAAGACCAGACAGGTTGCCCCAGCCCCCCAAATAATGCTCCATCTCGGGGGGCCTGCCCAGTCCCGGGGTGGGGGTCCCTCCCCGCACACCCCTCACCGTCGGACACCATGGCGGCCAGGATCCCCCCACGCTGAGGCTGCAAGCGGTCAAACGCTCCTCCCGGATCCTGCACACCCCGACTTCCGGCGCAGCCGAGTGACGCAGGAGCGGCTTGACGCAGGCCACGCGCCGTACCCAGGGCGCCGGAAGTGGAGTGCGGAGACGCGCTGCGTGCCGGCTGTCCCCGTGGCCGCGAGTCCCTGCGGCGGTGGGACCCGCTCCAGCAGCGCGGGCTGTCCGGGTCCCCTCGGGCTGTGCGATCCAGAGGGCGCCATGGACGACAAGGGTAAGTCGTAATGGATGGGCTTGCTGGAACTGAAGCGGAGTCCCCCCACCTGGCACGCCCGGACGGGGCCCTGCGAGAAATCCGTTTGCAAGCTTAGGCTGCTGGGCTGTATTTGCTGCCTCCAGTCGCAGCTCAGTCCCTCCCGCCGCCCCTGTCTCCAGGGGATGGGTCTTCAGGGTATCCCCAGACCTTCCTCTCCCGCCGCTTTCCAATGCCCAGACCTCCAAAAAAGGGAGACTTAGACTAGGTGTGCACATCTCCGCGGTTGTGATTCCCCGCCTTCTTGGATTTGGTACTAGAATTTTTTTTGAAGACGTTTTTGATGCGCTCATCTGATTATCAGGATGTTTCATTAAGTGAAACACAAGGGCAAACTGACTTATATTTCTCATTTAAGAGAAATAAGAGCGGGATGGGCTTCTGCATATACATGTCTATGTGTAAGTGGGTGAACAGGCTAGAGTTGGCATCGACTGTCTGGACAGGTGGAGGGTAAATTGATAAAGTGGTTGACTCTGGGATTCTCCTAGGACTTGTAGTCAAGGGTTAGAGGGAGGATGACCTTCTGTTATCGTGGGGTGGTGCTTAAATTTTATGCTTTTTGTGCACGGATAGGTTTTTCAAAAAAAATGAGAAAGACAGGGATGCCTGGGTGGCTCAGCAGTTGAGCGTCTGCCTTCGGCTCAGGGCATGATCTGGGATCAAGTCCCACATCCGGCTCCCTGCATGGAGCCTGCTTCTCCCTCTGCCTGTGTCTCTGCCTCTCTCTCTGTGTCTCTCATGAGTAAATAAATCTTTTTTAAAGAGTGAGAAAGCTCGTAAATACTAAAGTGGTGGCATCTCTATTCCTATCAACATTTATAATGCCCCTGAAGCCAAACACCCTGAAAAGAAAGTTTTGTTTTTTTAAATAGTTTGCTTCTGGGGTGCCTAGGTGGCTCAGTCGGTTCGCTAAATGTCTGTCTTCAGCTCAGATCATGATGATCAGGGTGCTGAGATCGAGCCCGGCATCAGGCTCCCCACTCAGCTGGAATCTGCTTCTCTCTCTCTCCCCCTCCCACCCCACTCCATGTGTGCTCTCTCTCAAATAAATAAAAATCTTTTAAAAAAATAAATAAATAAAATCAGTTTGCTTGTTAAGGTCAGCAGTCATTGAAAAGCTCTCTGGTCTTACATCCTACTAAATGAATTTGATTAATCACTTTTTTCTCCCTCCCCAGAGCTAATTGAATACTTTAAGTCTCAGATGAAAGAAGATCCTGACATGGCCTCAGCAGTAGCTGCCATCCGGACTTTGCTGGAGTTCTTGAAGAGAGATAAAGGTGAAGAGAGTGATATTTGAACACTCTGGGTGTTAGGGAAGACCTCTAGTAACTGTCAGAAGTGTAGGAAGTAAGACTGTGTCCGGCGCTCGTAAGGTAATGCAGCTCCAAGTCCAGCTTCTCCTTCATGTCAGTCTTCCTTTTAACTTGGAAAGAGCCCACTGGTTATCATTAAATGAGTCCCCTTTCATAAGTGAGATACACTTTGAATCAAGAGTGAGCATGTTATATCAAGTTAACCATGAAGCTTAAATGATAGCAATAGTTCAGCTTTGCAAGTTTTTATGCAGCTTCTGACTTATGCCAGAATTTGTGCAGTTGCTACAGAGTATCCCAGAATTCTAGTATTCATGTCATTCATTGGGATTGCCTACTAGTTCAGGCATCCTAAATGTAAATTTGTTGGTAGAGCATGACATCGTTTATAAGCAAAATAACAACAATAGTAATAGTAATAATAATGCTTTCTTTAATTCAAAGGGTTGGCCTAAAGCCATGGTGTCTTCCCATTGTACCTACAATAACACCCAAATACCTGAACCTTGCCTACACCACCTCACAGACCTCACCTTGCCACTTCCTCTTCATTTCCTCCCACGCCATCCCTCACTAAACTGTGTGTCAGCCCCGGTGGCCTCTCTGTCATATCAAGTTTGTTTCTATCTCAGGATCTTTGTGTTGTAGTCTACACCTACACCCTTCCTACTGGATCTTTATGTGGCTGGATCATTTTTTACCCAGGTCTCAGTTTAAATGGCCTCCACTCAGAGGCCATCCCTGTTAGCTTTCTAAAGTAGCCCCTTACTTCTCAACATGCTGCTGCTTTCTTTCCTCATTCAGTCTGTAACTTGTGTATTTCTTTGTGTGCTTGGTTTTTGCCACTAGAAAGAGAGTTCTATCAGAGCAGGGACCCTGTCTGTCTGCTCGCTGATCTGCCACTGCCATAGAGGATGCATTCAGTAAATACTGGTTGAACAAATGAAATGTTTGCATCACATACCCACCAAGGGTATCATCATAAACTGAACATTACATTCCTCATGTGATCAATTCAGGGGAGACGATCCAGGGCCTGCGAGCCAATCTTACCAGTGCCATAGGAACACTGTGTGGTGTGGACTCCTCCGTGGCCGTGTCCTCCGGCGGGAAGCTCTTCCTGCGTTTCATCAGCCTTACTTCCCTGGAATACTCTGTAAGCCCTGCCTTCCTTGGGTTACCTTTCTACTTCTTTGTTTGGCTGCTTTACCTGGATCTCAGTTCCCCACATTTTTCTCTTTTCTTCTTAGGATTACTCTAAATGTAAAAAGATCATGATAGAGCGAGGAGAACTTTTTCTCAGGAGAACATCCCTATCAAGAAATAAAATTGCAGATCTCTGCCATACTTTCATCAAAGATGGGGCGGTGAGTAGATTTTCTTATGTGCAGTAATTGGGAGCAGAGACTTTGGACTTAGACTCCTGGGGTAAAATCTCTCCTCTGCCACTTACTTGCTGTGTCACCTTGGACAAGTTACTTAACCTCTATGTGCTGTAGTTTTCTCATCTGTTAAATAAAGGTAACAACAGCACCCACCTCATCAGGTTGTGGGAGGAGGCAATGAGATGACCTAAGAACCCTCTACTATGCCTGGCACACAGTAAGCACTTAAGAAATGTGTAGATGTTATTACAGAGTCTATCATATTAAACAGGCAGGGGCGCGCCTGGCTGGCTCGGTCAGAAGAGTGGTGACTCTTGATCTCTGGGGTCATGAGTTCGAGCCCCACATTGGGTGTAGAGATTACTTAAAAATAATAAATAAACTTTAAATAAAATAAACAGGAAGAGAAAAACCACTGGGATAGCATGGATTCTTGGTTTAATAAGATGTCTTTACCAAAGAAGTATTTTCATTACTGGTTACCTACTAAACCCAAATCACCACCTAACAGCTGTTGGCACTGGTTCATACTGTCTTCCATACTGTCTTCCAGGGAAGATTAGCACTGTGTTGGGGTGTTGTCTTTAATTTCATCTCTAGTGCTATTTCAGAGATGCAGAGCTGCCAAGTGTTTGTAGGTGAAGACGGGAGCTGCAGGTTAAGCCAGTCCGCCAGCAAAGGGGCAGTAAAACCTTTATGATATCTCTTCCATGGCGTCCCTCTTCTGCCACCCCAGCCTCAGACCATAAAATTATTTACTTGCATTTTTGACTCTGAAATTTTTGTCCTGCTTTATTATCCCCTTCCCAACCTTTGAAGTGTGTTATTCAATAAATGATGTAATAGTTGTGAGTGGAATTTGTACAAAAGCCAGTTGCAAACAAAGCTGCTTTGGGGCAAATGGAGGCAAGATTAGGATTGCCTCTTGCTAAGAACCCTCTGTTTCCACCAAACTCCTACACTCAGCTTTCTGCGGGTTTCATTTGCTCTGGTGTGTTTGAACCTGTTAATACCTACCTGCATCAGCACTGACTTTAGGCTAAATTCAGAACAGAGCTGCCCATTTAAACCTACAGATGAACCACCTTGGGATCTCATTCAGGGATGTTCTGATTCAGCAGGTCTGGGGTGGGGCTGAGAATCTGCATTGCTAACAAGCTCCTGGGGGAGGCCCAGAAAGGAGCTAAGGTGCTCACTGCATCCATTTTGCATTATGTAGAACCATTTAGTCTGTTCATTAGAACAAAGGTGAAGTGAGTGTCTGCGTATTGTATCCAGCCCACAGATAAGGTTGTGTTTACCCCAAATGGTATTTATTAATTTTTAAAAATTAAGTAGCCAACCCTTATGTCTTGGATTTTCAAGAAAATATCAGATGCTCTGGCAATTGTGAGACCACATGACAGCAACTGGAACTTGGCCTCTCCTCTTTGCTGCTAGCCCTGCCTGAGCTGCTGCATTTCTTTATGCAGCCTGCCTAATGCCTGTGGACCTGAGTGTGCAAACCATGTCTTAGAAATGGGAAAGCCAGCCCAAAACAGAGCCTTCGGACAGAAAGGCTTTTATATCTTGAGCAACACCACATGGAGATTCCACTCCCGCATTTGCTGTAGGAAGAGGTGACCCACAATAGATGTGCCATTGAGAATCTCCTTCCTGATGCCAGTTGGTTTGTGAGAAGGCATACAGAGAAGCCTTTGGGGTACTGGGAGCCTGCATTAGCGGGGCAGAGTGCAGATAATCGCTGCTAAGCTTGCCCTTTTGACGGAGGTTTCTTGGTCCGCAGAGAATATTAACTCACGCCTACTCCAGAGTGGTCCTGAGAGTTTTGGAGGCAGCCGTGGCGGCCAAGAAGCGTTTCAGTGTGTACATTACAGAGTCACAGCCTGATTTATCAGGGCAAGTATTCCATTTGGTTCTGGGCCCAGCAGTCATTCTAAAGTGCAAACTGAGGATTAAAACCTGTGTGGGAAGCCCCAGAACATGTCCCCGAGTGGCCAGTTACCCAGCCATTGCCTTTGGGTGTCTTCCTGCCCCTGAAGGAAGATCCCTGTGAATTGGCAGTAACCACAGTACAGGATCTAGGCTGTTTACTTAGTAGTTAAATCAGAGGAACAGCAACAGATACATCAGTGGAAAGATTTTTATCAAGGACTAGATAATTCACATATCCATCTAGAAGATAATGAAAGGGGGATCCCTGGGTGGCTCAGCGGTTTAGCGCCTGCCTTTGGGGCAGGGCGTGATCTTTGAGTCCCGGGATCGAGTCCCACATCGGGCTCCCTGCATGGAGCCTGCTTCTCTCTCTGCCTGTGTCTCTGCTTCTCTCTCTCTCATGAATAAATAAATAAAATCTTTAAAAAAAAATAGAAGATAATGAAAGAAGAAGCTTTATCCTTTTTTTCTGAATTTGGTTCTCTTACCCAGATTCCCCAAGAATATCGTTTTCCTGAAATACCTATTTTCTTCTAAAGAACCCAAATTCTTATTTCTTTCATCCAGAGTCTTGGGATGTGCCCCTTAATCCCTATGAACTGAGTTTCAAGCTAATTTGATTGACCACTGTCCAAATTAAGTGACTCATCATACATCACTATGGGACTCTCTTCAACTTTTTCTGTTCTCAAAATGTTACTTTCCAGTAAGAAAATGGCCAAAGCTCTCTGCCACCTCAACGTCCCTGTCACTGTGGTCCTGGATGCTGCTGTTGGGTAAGTTCCCATCTTCCCTGAGCACGGTTGCTTTTCCTCACCCACTCCCAGGTTTGCCTTGGAACACGGTTTCCAGATTGATAAAACCTCACTGGGTAACATCCTGCCTTTGAATTGATGGCTGCATTAATCCAGCAAGCTCATTATAAGGTCTTAAGAGTGTATGCAGGACACAAGCTGTAGGGTGTTGCAGAGAATGAGCTAGCTATCCTCAGTGGCACTCTGGGATTCTGTGACTCACTCATGCAACTTTGCTCCTAAAACTGAGGACAAGTGTTCAGAGAATTGTCAGTGTACCTCACAAAAGAAAACAGGACTGAAAGTCTCTCAGAAAAACACAAACACACAGAAAGCAGCTGATAAGGAAATTAAGAATGCATTCAGAAGAAAACATTTTGAAGAATTCCCTTAATTGTTCATTTTCAAAGGTAAATTGGCCTTTACCTTAGCTGAAAGATTCTTGAATTACATAATGTTCTTTTCCAACTTTAGATCACAATAGGCTTTTAAATTTTTGTTTTGTTTGTATTGAAGTAGATCAGAAAACAGTATGTACCACAAGTAGCAAGGATCACATCAGGTCATGAAATCCTCATTATCAGTCACCACACTTGTGTACATGTGTCAGCAGCCATGGGGGAGCGCCTCTGTCTGTGTCTCTCCTGAATAAGTAAAATATTAAAAAAAAATTTCTCTTTTTTTTGCTTTAATTTTTTTAGCTATATCATGGAGAAAGTGGATCTGGTCATCGTTGGTGCTGAAGGAGTTGTTGAAAACGGGGGGATTATCAACAAGGTAAGAACATCAGTTCTGTATAGCTCCTTGCCCCTGACGTAGACCCAGGCTGCTGACCCCCATCCTGGCATCCACTCTTCCATTCTGCTTAGTCTCCATATGTCACCATCACAGCCAATGGTTTCCTTGGCTCCAGAGGTCACTACAGTGGCCAAATTTTGGTCACATTTCTTTGATCTCTGTGAATCATGGGAATACAGTTTATCTTTTCTCAAAACATGTTTTAACTGGAATTGAGTTTGACTGTTGGTTGTTTTTTTTTTTTTTAAACTGAGCATATTTGACATCAGTATAAAGAAGTTTTAAAATTCTTTGCCCATTGCCTAACATGGGAAGATTTCATGATCATTTGTTTCTTGTGGTGTGTAGTGAAAGACACATAACGTACAGTTTTCACATTTAGCGTTTAGTGGCATGATTTCACTCAGCACGATATTTTCTTTTTTTAAGTATTTTATTCATTTATTTGAGAGGGAGAGCACATGAGTGGGGGCAGAAGGAGAAGAAGCAGGGTCCTCACTGAGCAGGGAGCCTGACATGGGGCTCAATCCCAGGACCCTGAGATCATGACCTGAGCTGAAAGCAGACACTTCACCGACTGAGCCACCCAGGCGCCCCACATTCAGTATGATGTTTTTAAGGCCCATCTTTGTGATAGCCGGTGTCACCTCCATCCCTCTTTTTTATCTTTTTAATAAAGATTTTATTTATTTATTCACAAGACACACACAGAGACACAGGCAGAGGGAGAAACAGGCTCCATGCAGGGAGCCCGATGCAGGACTCCATCCTGGGACCCCGAGATCACGCCCCGAGTCAAAGGGAGATGCTCAACCACTGAGCCACCTAGGCATATGGCACATTTGTTTGCCCACCCATTCCTGTCCACTTGAGTTGTTTCTACGTTTTGGCTATTGTGAATAATGCTATTGCAAACATAGGTGCACAATTATGAGTTCCTATTTGCAGTTCCTGTGGGTATGTATCTGAGTGGAACTTCTGAGTCATGGTAATTCCATGTTTAGCTTTTCTTTTTTAAAGATTTTATTTATTTATTCATGAGAGACACACAGAGAGAGAGAGAAGCACAGACACAGGCAGAGGCAGAAGCAGGCTCCATGCAGGGAGTCTGACATGGGACTCGATCCCGGGTCTCCAGGATCACACCCCAGGCCGAAAGCAGCGCTAAACCGCTGAGCCACCAGGGCTGCCCCATGTTTAGCTTTCTGAGGACCTACCAGACTTTTCCACAGCAGCTGTACCTTTTCCCATTCTCAGCATATACAAGTATTCCAGTTCCTCTACATCTTTGCCAATACTTGTTATTTTGGCTTTTAATTTATAGCCATGCTGATAGGTGTGAAGTAGTATCTCATTGTAGTTTTGACTTGCGTTTGCCTGATGACTGGAGGATCTTGAGCATGTGTGTATTGGCCATTTGTATATCTTCGGAGAAATGTCTATTCTGTCCTCTTTTTATTTTTTAAGATTTTATTTATTTATTCCTGAGAGACAAGAGAGAGGCAGAGACACAGGCAGGCTCCGTGCAGGGAGCCCGATGTGGGACTCGATCCCGGGATTCCAGATTACGCCCTGGGCCGAAGGCAGACACTTAACCACTGAGCCACTCAGGCATCCCATGTCCTCTTTTTAAAAATATCCTCTTTAGGAGTGCCTGGGTGGCTCAGTTGGTTAAGCATCTACCTTTGGTCAGGTCATGATCTCAAGGTCCTGGGATCGAGCCACATGTTGGGCTTCCTGCTTGGCGGGGAGCCTGCTTTTCTCTCAGCTTCTCTGCTTGTGTTCTTTCTCTCAAATAATTAAGCATTTTAAAAACTGAAAGAGGGCAGCCCTGGTGGCTCAGCAGTTTAGCGCCGCCTACAGTCCAGGGCGTGATCCTGGAGACCCGGGATCGAGTCCCACGTTGGGCTCCCTGCATGGAGCCTGCTTCTCCCTCTGCCTGTGTCTCTGCCTCTCTCTCTCTCTCTCTCTCTCTCTCTCCTTCTCTCCCTCTCCTGTGTATTCTCATGAATAAATAAATAAAATCTTTAAAAAAATAAATAAAATTAAAAAAATTAAAAACTGAAAGATCTTCTTTAATTTCAAAGCCAGATTTCATATATTATATAGTCACTCACATGCTTTTGAATGTGCTATAAGGTCTCATCCTTCATTTTCTGTGTGTCTCCAGATTGGAACCAACCAGATGGCCGTGTGCGCCAAAGCACAGAACAAGCCTTTTTATGTCGTTGCAGAAAGTTTCAAGTTTGTACGACTCTTCCCACTAAACCAGCAGGATGTCCCAGATAAGTTTAAGGCAAGAGTTTTTTTTACATATTTGAAGGGGTATTTGAGTCTATAAAGATTTTTATTTATTTATTCATGAGAGAGAGGCAGCGACACAGGCAGAGGGAGAAGCAGACTCCAAGCAGGGAGCCCCATGTGGGACTCAATCCTGTGACTCCAGGATCACAGCCTGGGCCGAAGGCAGGTACTAAACCGCTGAGCCACCTGGGCTGCCCAGGGGTATTGAGTCTAAACTGAAGTCTTTGGGAAGAAGCAGTGTAAGAATATTTCAGTTAAGTTACTCCCTTCCCATCACTAGTTTCTCTAACACTTGGGATACAAAGATCAGTTGTTGGCTGAGCTCAGAATGAGTCCCATTTGTCCCCAGAACTTCAGTCTCTCCGTCTCTCTCAGGCAGAAGAAGGGGCTGGGAGGATACAGGGAGAGCTGATGGTTCAGTCCAAGCCTTGGAGTCAGTCATCCAGGCTCCAGCCCCCATCTCCACCGCTTATTGACCATGTGACCTGGGGCAAGCACTCTCATTTTACTTTCTGGGCTTCAGTCGTCTTTAAAATGAGACGAAAGTGCTGAGCGATCTGACGGTTCTGAGATAATCCTGGAGAAAAGCTTGGCACGTGCCAGGCACATAGTAAGCACTCTGTACACTCTAAATTGTTATCTCAAGAAGCTTGGAGCAGTGACTCCAGCACAGCAGTGAGGGCAGTTTATCATTAAATTGAGGCTGTCAGCCCAAAGGCCACCATCCTCTGGCTCCCCTGCAGCACCGTGCCCTCCTCGCCAATATGCTGCACAGCTGGCTTCCCCCACCTCTGGGGAACACAGAACATGTTCAGGGAGTAGTACACTGATTACACAGGCCAAGCCCATGTCACATCTGAGCCCTGGGTGTGTGGGGAAAACCAACATGTGTTTCCTGTCTCCTCAGTATAAGGCAGATACTCTTAAGACTGTGCAGACGGAACAAGATCTCAAAGAGGAGCACCCGTGGGTCGACTATACCTCTCCTTCCTTAATAACACTGCTGTTTACAGACTTGGGGGTGTTGACACCCTCAGCAGTCAGCGATGAGCTCATCAAGTTGTATCTGTAAGCGCTGGATCCTCCTGCCGGCGCACAGCCAACATACTTAGGGCAAGGTGAGTAGCCTCTTGACCCCTCCATGAGCCAGACGAAAAGTGAAATTTTTTTCTTTAAAGATTTTAAGTAATCTCTACCCCCAACATGGGCTCGAACTTACCACCCTAAGATCAGGAGTCACATGCTCCACTGACTGAGCCAGCCAGACACCCCTAAAACTGATTTTTTTTTTTTTAAATGAAGACTTAGGACTAAGGACCTAAAACCCTAATAAGATCTGGAGAATTTTTTATCCAGTTTAGCCCATCTAAAATGTATTCATGGTTTTCCTAAAACCTAACCTGAATTGTGTTTATGGTTTCCAGACACTTTCCAGTGTCCAGAAATACAAGTTAAGTTATTGGCTACTTAACCAATGAAAGACATGCCCAGGCCCACCTCCCTTCTTCCTGCACTCCAGACTGAATTGCCAAAAGCATCGATGAAAGAAATGCAGGCCTGCCTGAAAAAGCAGACATTCCTGCCTCCACCCAGGCACCCCTACAGGAACCAACAACTGCCCAGGACATGTTACAAACAAACGGTGCCTTGAGAAAGGCCAGAAACCCAGGTTGAATTTACAGGAGGCTTCCGGTGGTGACCACAAGCCCAGAGTTGCCGTCCCATCATCAAGCTTGGGACAGACAGAATGGGAATCACCAAAAGAACCCAAGGAAGTTAGAAACAGCATTTAGCAGGAGGAACAATGTGTGGCTCATCATGTATGAAGACCTTCCAAAATATCTGCACACTGAAATTCTGTATCTGTGAAAGATGTGAATTTCCCTTAAATTCTGCTTCTGAACAGCTTTTTAAAAATTGTACTTGGGTACAAAGTCAGCATCTTTTCAAATAAATTATATGAAGTATTTTGAGCCTGAACAGCTTTTTAAAAAGTATACTTGGGTACAAATTCAGCGTCTTTTCAAATAAATTATATGAAATATTTTGATATGGTGTTGCATCAGTACTGAGTGCTACCTGCAGCCCAAAGGTATTAGTCATCTTGGTGAAGACACTGCAGCCACATTCACACACTTGACACTCAATTGGAAGGAAACTGTTTATTCGACACAAAGCATAATTTTTTTCCCAGAATATGACTTGCTTCCTTGGTTTTTCAGATAACCCCCCCATAAAATGGTGGTGGGGACTATTCTTTAAAAAGAAATACCCCAGCAACATCAGCCACCCCATGCAAGTGTTTTGTGCAGTTCCTCAGAAATAACTGAAGTCCAGGGATGAGGACACTCAGGAAGATCAGGTGCCTGAAAACACTAAGGAAACTTAGAAAGCCAAAAATCAAGTATACCTCAGTATGTTTAGGTTAAAAAGTAAGTATAAAATAGCCACAGAAAAAGCTTGAAGTTATAGGTAACCCATCAAAATAAATATTCAACAGCTGTTTATTTACACTTAGTCTTACACTCTCCTGTTGGACCTAAGGGCCAATGAGGTCCGAATAAAATATTCATGAGCATGAAGCCTCCCCTCTGTCCCAGTGCCAGAACTGTCGGCTGCAGTTCTGGCACACAACAAAAGCACGTGTGAGCTGTGCCGGGTGCGGGGCCTCTTCACTATATTCCCTGCACTCCTACACGCCCCAGAGCCAGCATCAGCAGTCCTCTTCCAAATCAGGGATCCCCAAATCTGTCGTGACTGTTCCCTTGCCACATGAAAACAACCCCTTCTCAAATTCTTCCTCAGTAATTTTGCCTTTCTTAAACTTTTTCAACAGCCTCATGTCGTTAAGAAGTTCTTCCATGTCCTCATCTTCGATATCAGAACCCTGAGTGCAGAGCAAGAAAGCACATTTCTTAGCAATGTGTTCCCATAGCAACAACACACTCTCACATCAGCTTCCAAAAACACACCATGCTCCCTCCTGAGTCACAAAGGAATACAGCAATAGAGAGCCCCATGCAGCTACTACAAGACGCTATCTTGATAAAATTCACTCAGATTTCTCAGCTGAGTATTCAAGTAATAAAAAGTGTACCTCTTCCCTCTTCCTTTTTTCATTCATTCTTTTCTTCTTCTCCTTTTTGGCCTTCTGCTTTGACCAAGCTTTATTTTTTATAATATTTTTCCTCCCTCCATTTTCTCTTTTCTCTTTTCTTTGTCGCTCCAGTAGTTTCTGCCTTTGTTTCTCTCTAATTTTATCTTTAAATGGAATGATGTCTGTGTTAACATCTGCAGGCACAAAATCTGGGAACTGCCGTCCCCTCAGTTCTGGCATCTTGGGCATCCGCAGCAGGGCAAACCCTCGAGCAAGACTAGCAAAATCAAGATCTAATTAAACCAAAATGGCAGAGTTAGCACACCCAAAATAGGGTCAGAAGCTCCAACCCCAGGAAGACACCAGTTCTGACCAAATGAGCTAATCGGGTTCATTTTAATTAGATTTAAAATAATTACATTTTTGCTGAAAAAGAGTACTTGGCAGCCACTTTGTTCTGTCTACACACAAACCCTAGCAAGACTTCTTTTAAATTCTAGAAAATAACCCTGATACGTGCCTAACATTTTTTAAGGCCTGCAGGTATTACATGAAGTCCACCTTACCCTTTAATCTGAAGATGAGGTTGCATTCGTGCTTTGCATAAGCCTGGACATATGACACAAAGGCCTTCATGCCCTTTTCAAACACAGCTCTGTCAGCCAGGGCCATGGACTTGAGCTTTGGAAGGAGATCTCCTGTGTTTTTCTGGAGCTTCATCTCCTGCAGGGGACACTGCACACAGACCACATGCTCACCTCCAAAACCCCATCAGAACCAGTGCCAATAAAACCAAAGGCAAAACAATTCACTGTAATCTTTAATCAGAGGCACTGAAGCCCAAATTCCCAAGTATTTTGTTTGGTCTGATATTTTTTTAAAGAAAATTTTAAATAAGTTTTACATAACAATCCTGGTTTCTAGTCGGAAAATATCCAACCCAAGTACTGACAGCTGAAGCTGAGCCACCTTAAATGGAGCATGCCTCCCCATGGCCTTTAGGCCAGCGTGGTCCCTGTCCTTCCATCACCACCTGGCCCCTGAGAGTCTGCAAACCACCCCCCTAACTTCCGGACCACTTGCTAGAAAGGAACTCTACACCAAGTCTCCTGTCACTGGGCATTCTATATGAAAAAAAGAGACCACTTACTTTTTGGTTAATTTCAAGGAAAGTGACATAGGACTCTTCCATGGGAAGAAGGAACACGAGCGCGCTGCCACCGTGGCCAATGCGGGCTGTGCGGCCACAGCGATGCACAAAGGCACTGTGAATGCAGGATGGGAACATGTTCACCATGTGAACAGTGGGGTGGAGCACGGGCCCAGGGCCACCAGACTCCATGGCTCAGCCCTATCCCTGCCCCTCACTAGGGTCACAAACACAAGAGCTGACAGGTAAACATAGATGCAAACCAGTAGGACTCTGCAAGACACTTAATGTGAACTACAAAACTTTCAAATATATGCCTATCTGATGACAAAAGTAAAACACAGTCCTAGTAGAAAACTAGCAGACAAAAGTAAAGGAAAGTGGCCTGTAAGCCCTCCAAGAAGCAATAATTATTACCACTCAGGAGGCCTATTCCCCTGGATTTTCCTCTGTTTGGAAGCATTTATGAGAAATATATGTTTGCTTTGGGAGAATAAAGGAGACTTTCATATATGGTGTTGTGTGTCGCTTTCCTTTAAACATCTGTAAGATACATTTATGCAAGACCTCTAAAAAGCAGGTGAAAATAATGAATTGCTGCATACTATGGCATCGCTAATTTGACACACCAATGACAGTTCACCTGTTCACCCATTTTTGCTATTTAGAGTAACATTTTGGGCACCTCAGTGGCTCAGTCAGTTAAGCATCTGCCTTTGGCTCTGGTCATGATCCTGGGGTCCTGGGATGGAGCCTTGTGTTGGGCTCCCTGCTCAGCACGAGCCTGCTTCTCCCTCTCCCTCCCCCTGCTGTGCACTCACATGGGCACTCTATCTCAAATAAATAATAAATAAAATCTTTTTTAAAAATAAATAACATATTGATGAACATCATTATGCAGATCTTCCTCAGAATTTGTGGGGCCACATTCCTGACAGGGAGGGTCACATTCTGTCACACTGTACCTTGCGCTGCTGGGAGGGTCATATTGCAAAACCCAGTTTACTTCAGGAATGTCTATTCCTCGAGCCATGACATCCGTGCACACTAAAATCCCACTAGAAATTGAGAAAACATCGTTCTGAGCAAGGGGGCCACCAATGTTATCACCATCAATTCTTACTGGCCTCTGTGTACAATAACAATAACACACAGTTTCAGAAACTCTTGCAGAAGCAAGCATTCAGTAATAACATTTTGACCTCCTAAGGATCTTTAGGACTCTCCCAATTTCCAATGAAAATGGGAAGTAGGGAAAAGACCAGGAAAGGATTTTTAAATTAGCATATTTAAAACAAAAAACTGCAGTGAAATCTAATCCTGAGGTGTAACAGTCCATTCTATCACACTGTCTAGAAGAGTGCATTTAACAATACAGCCAGGATGCTCAGTGGAAAAGCAGGGAAGTGTGACTTCTACACACAGAATCAATTACGGAATTACGGTCTTTGTGCAGTGACCTGACGACAACCCACAAGACCTCAATGAGCTGCTCCTCTCCACACTCTCCACCCATTCAACAAACAGGTATCAAAACCCCCTAGCCAGGCAGTGGGCCAGTTACTGGGAAATCCAGGAGTGAACAAAACACACAGGTCTGTATTCTTAGAGCTTACGATCTCACAGCGAAGCTGGCAATAACTAAAGACATCAGTGCAGCACAGCATGACGGGGTCAGGCCAGGGACATGGGCTCCCCCGCAGGCCACACAGAGCAGATGTGATAACTGGTCAGAGGAAAAGAGGGCTGCAGGCAGAGAACACAGCCCACATGAGGGCTGAGACGCAAGGTCCTGCCAAAGCATACAGTGAGCTCCAAGGCAGCAAACCCACCTTTGCAATTTGCGGAACTCCATGAAGATCTTATTGCGCTTGTGTTTCATCTTCCCGTGAATGCACATAATCTTCACACTCTTCACCAGGGCCTCCAGGGCCTTTCCGTAGTATTCCACACAGGCACAGGTGCTGCCGAGAGGGGACAGCAGGCTCAGAGTCACTGGCCACTTAGAGTGCCCTAGTGCTAGGGGAGGGAGGTGGTGAGCACCAGACGTAGCGAGATGAGTGGGAGAATGGCTACCAAGAGCATCCACACTAAACTCCAAATCTGAAACTTTATGGAGTTCTGACCCCAGGACAAAACCCCACCATGTCAGATGCTGGGCTGGCTGCCTTTAAAAGCAATTCCCAGCCACCTCCTCCCTCACCTCCCTGTACAAACAACAGAGGCTGGGCCAGCTAGCTGCACACTCATTTCCCTTGCCTCTCCGGAGGTGAGTGGCTCCAAGTGACTCACCTTTGGCCCCTAAAGATAAAGCTTGAGTCAGCTGGGAAGGAGGGGTTTCTGAGAAAGCTTTCTGCTCTTCTGATGTGAAGAATGCCCTTCCCACTCCCTCTGCCTTTTCTCCTTTCTCTGTTTTCAGTGCAGATGGGAAAGCAGGCATGACACTGGCCATCTTCAGACCATGAGGGGACAAACAGGAATAAAAGGCCAAGACAGTCACAGCAACACAGACCTGGACACTGGGGAGACATAACCCAATGTCAGGACCTGCCTAACCTCTGGCTTCCTTTCTAGAGAAAGAAAATAACTCCTCCTGCTTGAGCCACGAAAGTTCTGTTTTCAGTTATTTGCAGACAAAAAAACATTCCTGAGAAAATCCCAAACCTTAGGGCTACATGTATCTGTGCACTCCAGATGTGGCTGAACCCCAGATTCTCCTACCACAGGACTCAGAAGGATTACCTGAAGAAGATCAGGTGTTTTTCCTGCTTATGATTTCGAAGAAAATGTACCAGCTGGTTAAATTTCTCATCTGCCTTACATATCTGCAAAGTTAAAAGGAAAACCAGTAAGATTTTTAAAATTTATAGATGACAATAATCTCTTTAGCTATTTTCAGATTTAGCCTTAAATGTTAAGGACTCTGATTCTCTCCACTGATCGAGTACACTTTCTTCAGTATGTTAATCATCCTGCCTAGATCAGAACAGGTGGCTGTTGACAAAAGTAAGTCACAAAGTCATGGAACTAAAAAAGAACTAAAAAAAAAACCAAAGTCATGGAACTGAGAGACACACAGTCATCTAATGCAATCGTCCCCAAATCCCAGTATACAGACAGGGACCAGACCAGCTATACCCAGCATAGGTTTTTTTGTTCTGTTTTGTTTTTTACATAAGCTCTACACCCAACATGGGGCTTGAACTCATGACCCCAAGATCAAGAGTTGCAAGCTCTCTGGACTGAGCCATCCAGATGCCCCTCCGGGGTAATTTTTTTTTTTTAAATGCAGATTCTTGGGCACAGCATATAAATTCAGTAGGTCTAGGACTGGACCCAAGAATACATATTATTTAAGAGCCCCCTGGAGATTCTGGTACAGCTCCACATTCAGAAATCACGAAGATGAACACAGGTTTCCAGAGAGGAATGTACAAAATTTGAAAGACCTCCTTGGAGACAGACTCCAGTCCCAATATAATCAAGTACTCCATCCAGGCCCCTAAATTGGAGACATTTAAACCCATCTGCATGTATTCCTTCTATTTTTACCAAAACCAAATTCTCAGTCCGGAATTTCTTCCCACACACTCCTCCATTTCTCTAAATGCAATCACTGAAATGAATACAAAACAGCAGAAAGCAACAAGAGCCACAGTGGGTGTCCAAAGTTAACGGTTATTTGTACTTACTATGTACTAAGCACTGGCCTAATGTGTATTAATCCTCATCACAATTATGAAGTGGGTAGTACTGGCGAACTCTTCTTACAGGTACATGCATCTAGTTTAATTAGTAAGGGACAAAGCCAAGATGTGCACCCAGGCTTTGTCCTGGGCGGTCCTGCTCCGACACTCGCTCCTAGTGATGCACAACATTACCTACAGACCCCTCCCTCTGGCTGGGAAAGGCCAGGCTCCTGACTTTAGTAGCCTAGCCCAGACCTGTCAGCAATAAGGATGATGCCCCATGCAGGTGAGCCTGCTGGATTTCAACACCACCCTCGAGGCAGATGCCCTAGAGGCAGTGCCACGTTGTATGTTAGACCCTAGTCAGCATTATCACTAAACGGCAGAATCAGTAAGGATATCCAGTGCGCACCATGTAGTAGTTCTCCAGGCGGGAAGGAGTTTTCTGGGTGCTGCTGGCAGCTACACCCTTCTCCTTCACCGAGATCCGGACAGGGTTCCGCAGGCCCGCTCTCACCAGGCTCTCCACTTCCTGTGTCTGAGTTGCTGAAAAGAGGCCTGTTCTCCTCTGCTTTGGCAAAAACTCCAGGATGGTGTTGATGCTAAAAAAAGAGGACTCCAACTTAACCCTTTGTTTATCAGCATCATCAACAAATACCACTTATGATACTAAACAGGTATTTTAAAAATTGGGGAAAAAAAGCCATCACAGTATTTACACTAGACATTAACTAGGAAAAAAAAAAGACATTAACCAGGGGATAAGATTATGAACAATTTTTATTTATTCATTATACTCTCATTTTTCTAAGTTTTCTCCAATTTTTTTTTTTTTTTAGTTTTCTCCAATATTAACACGTAATTATACTTTTATCATGTGAGGCAATTAAAAGGAGAGAATGAAGGTAAAACAAAAAACTTTTTGGTGGGGGAGTGGGGGGTTGGGGGGCTGTCGGTGAAGCATTTGCCTTTTGGCACAGGTCATGATCCTTAAGTCCTAGGATCAAGCCCTGAATCACTTTTCCTTCTTCCTCTATTCCTCCCCCCTGCTTGAGCACTCACACTCTCTCTCAAATAAATAAAATCTTAAAAAAAATAACAAAAAAAGTTTTGAGACTAAAAACCATGAAACCATATATATTTTTTAAGATTTTATTTATTTATTCATGGGAGACACAGAGAGAGAGAGGCAGAGACACAGGCAGAGGGAGAAGCAGGCTTCATGCAGGGAGCCTGATGCGGGACTTGATCCTGGGTCTCCAGGATCACACTCTGGGCCAAAGGCAGCACTAAACCGCTAAGCCACCTGGGCTGCCCAGAACTATACATTTTAAGTCGATGAACTGTATGATATAGGAATATATCCCAATAAAGCTATTCAAAATACCAACACACACAAAAAAAAAAAAAAATTCAAAAGAAATCATGAAGGAAAATGCATCTTAAGAAGTAGAAATGGAATTAAAACTGTGTGGTAAAATTTGAAAGATCAAACAACTTAATGACTTGAAATTCAAATGAGGCCAATAAGGGCAGTCAGTAAGTGGTAAAGGAATTCCACTTTGCTCTCCTTTTTGCCCACCATAACCCAAAGCCAGCGAAGCCCATAGTCCAGTACCTTGCCTCAAACCCCATGTCCAGAAGTCTGTCTGCTTCATCCAACACCAGGACCTCCAGGGACTTCACACAGCTAGCCAGATCCAAGCCCTCCACCTTCCTCCGGAACATGTCCTCCAAGCGGCCTGGAGTGGCCACAATGATGTTCCCACTTTGAAAACACAGTAAACATTTGCCATACTCTCTGGATCTTGGGAATATCTGTGATTCCAAAAACCAAATTTTGTAACCTCCACCCCCAAAGTCATCTAAGTTCCAGGGAAGGGAAATACAGCCATGAGTGAGGATAGAGGGCTAAGGGCAAAAGCCAGGACCATGAAGGAGACTGATGGGTTCTGGGCCAAAAGCCAGGTCAGAGTCAGCACACGCTGGCCCACTGGCCACATCTGGCCTCCACCTGTTTTTGTGACGTATCATTGGCACACAACCACACCCATTCGTTCATATATGGTCTTTGGTGGGTTTCACACTACCACAGTGGAGCTGAATACTTGTGACAAACCATGTGGTCCACAAGCCTAAAATATTTACCATCCGTTCCTTTATAGAAAAGGTTTGCTGACCCCTGACCTAGAACAAGCTACTCAACCACTCTACACCCCTGGTAATTCATCTATAAAATGAGAATGTTAGGGATCCCTGGGTGGCTCAGAGGTTGAGCATCTGCCTTTGGCTCAGGGCGTGATCCTGGAGTTCCGGGATCAGGTCCCGCATCAGGCTCCCTGAATGGAGCCTGTTTCTCCCTCTGCCTGTGTCTCTGCCTCTCTCTCTCTCTCTCATGAATAAATCTTTTTAAAAAAATAATGTTAACAGAATTAGAGAGAATTTTACATTAAAGATCACAACCAGGAAAAAATAAAATAAAAAAAATAAAGATCACAACCAGGGATCCCTGGGTGGCTCAGCGGTTTCACGCCTGCCTTTGGCCCAGGGCGCGATCCTGGAGTCCAGGATCAAGTCCCACATTGGGCTCCTGGCATGGAGCCTGCTTCTCCCTCTGCCTGTGTCTCTGCCTCTCTCTCTCTCTCTCTGTGTGTCTATCATAAATAAATAAAAATAGGGATCCCTGGGTGGCGCAGCGGTTTGGCGCCTGCCTTTGGCCCAGGGCGCGATCCTGGAGACCCGGGATCGAATCCCACATCAGGCTCCCGATGCATGGAGCCTGCTTCTCCCTCTGCCTGTGTCTCTGCCTCTTTCTCTCTGTGACTATCATAAATAAAAATAAATAAAAAAAAAATTAAAAAAAAAAGAAATTAAAAAATAAATAAATAAATAAAAATAAATATTTAAAAAATAATTAAAATAAAAAATAAAGATCACAACCGCAGACAAAACACCAAATGTGGCCCCTACACACTGACTGACATGCAAGAAGTTGGTTTTGTTTTGTTTTTAAATTTCAAGTATTCTCTATACTCAACTTGGGGTTTGAACCTACAACCCCAAGATCAAGAGTTGCATGCTCCACCACTGAGCCAGCCAGGTGCCCCAAGAAGTTTTTTTTCTCTTTTTTAATATGAATTACATGCCAATGGTTAGAAGTCTGGAGCTAACACATAAAAATCTGGAATTCCATTTGCTTTTTAAAAATTCAAAATCTGACAATACTGAACCCAGAACCCTGCAAGGCTATCAGCTAGAACTGAGTATTTGGCCAGGTACTGGGCAATTCCTACCCCATCCCCACCCCTTCTCACAGACTGGTGTTATCCTCTGTCCCCTGCAGGAACGGACTTTTTGACCTCTGCTGAAACGCATCTCATGGGACAGCCAAACATACCAAATGCTCAATAGAAGCAGTTCTATTAAGATTTTCTAACAAATTGGCCACAAAATCTATCACTGCCCACAAAATCTATCACTGCCCATTATAAATCTTATTCATGGTAGGACAGAAAAAAATCCAAAGGGCTGACAGCCACCACATTTGCCAACATCTACATGTTTATTAAACACCTGTGTGTGCTCAGCACCAAGCAAGGCTCTGCAGATACAATGCTGTGGGACAGCACCCTGACCTACAAGCCTGCCTGAGGACACAGGGATGCTGGCCCACGCAATGCTCTAGAAAGCCAGGTCTGTGCAGCAGCTAACTCGTGGGGAGGCGGCAGCAGTGGAGAATGGTGGTCTCGCAAGCCCTATACAGACATCAGTATCCTTCCTAAGGGCCAGCAGAAGCCACTAAAGGGTTTCTAATGAGTGACATGACCCAACTGACATTCTGAAAAGGCCACCTGGGTTGCTCTGTGGAAAGTGGGTTATAAGATGGCAAGAGGAGAAACACAGAGGACACAAGGTGGTCTAGATCAGAGTGGAAGAGGTGGCGAGGGAAAGAAGCAAAGGGCTAGAGATGTGTGCTCTGGAGGGAGCATGTAAAGGATGTTGGTGATGGTTAATGGCGTGCGGGGACAGAAGAGACAGTGAGGTATCAAGGCCAATTCCCAGACTTCAGGAGAAGCACAGAGATGGACAACCAGGAAACTCCAGGTGACATGGAGATTTGGGGACAAAAATCAGCCATTCCAGACACACTTGCAACAGCAGGGAAATGCCCAGGAGATGCCAGGCAGACAAGCAGCTGCCTGCAGGTCTGGAGCTAAGGCTAAGGTCAGGGACCACCAGGAGCGAGATGAGACCACTTAAGAGAGCCCTGAGTGAGAAAGCAAGGGCCCTGAGGCCTGCCTAGTCAGTCAGCCTGGTGGGGGGGGGGGGGGGCAACACCCCAGCTTCTTTCTCCTCTGCAGGGCAGGACTCACTGAGCGGGAAATGCTCATCAGGGCCTTAGGGGAAGGGCCAGCAGGCAAAATTCAAAGTTGGCCTAGAGAATCAAACTTTTGGGGAGAGCAGGTTGCCGAAGGGAGTGCTCCCCATTAGGCCTATGCCATGTATCACCTCCTCTTGGGTTCAGGGCCAAAAACAAGCAAGGAAAGGAGTGGAAGCAAACTTACCCTTGTTCCTTAAACCTGGAAACATCTTCTGCGGGATTCCTGCCTCCGATCCAGAGAATCTGGCTAAAACAAGAAACGGGTCTTTGAGCAGGTCAGGCAAAGTGGTCAGACAGCCCACAGCTAACAGGGACACTGCATCCAACTTACCTGAACTGTGGGAAGGACTTTGTGAAATGCGCCAGGACTTCATCTACCTGAATAGCCAGCTCTCGGGTGGGTGTGATGATGATCGCCCCGACCTAGCCATGTTGGGGGAAGGAAACAGTGAGCAGAGCACAGGACTTACAAAGCTGAACACACACACCAGGACCATCCCCCTCGCAGAGCCAAGTTCCCAGAGGAACAGCACTTCCTGGGCTTCTTCAGCGGCCAGTCACAGTGCTTATCAACGACTTTTCTGAATCACAATTAGTTCAAACACTATAACACTGCTCCTGTGGGAAATGCAGGGTCAGGTTCCGAAGAGCCTCTGGTCATGTTTTGTCAATCATAAGCAGGCTGGCTTTACGTGTGCTTCTGTTTATTTATTTTTTTTAAAGATTTATTTATTTAGGGGGGAGAGAGAGAGAGAGAGAGAGAGAGAGAGAGAGAGAGAGAGAGAGGGGCGCAGAGACACAGGAGGAGGGAAAAGCAGGCTCCATGCCGGGAGCCCGACATGGGACTCGATCCCGGGACTCCAGGATTGAGCCCTGGGCCAAAGGCAGGCACTAAACCACGGAGCCACCCAGGGATCCCCTGTGCTTCTGGCTTTTTTGTCTTTGTTTTTGTTTTTGTTTTAATTTTTATTTATTTATGATAGTCACACAGAGAGAGAGAGGCAGAGACACAGGCAGAGGGAGAAGCAGGCTCCATGCACCGGGAGCCCGTCGTGGGATTCGATCCCGGGTCTCCAGGATCGCGCCCTGGGCCAAAGGGAGGCGCCAAACCGCTGCGCCACCCAGGGATCCCCCTGTGCTTCTGTTTAAAGACACCTTAATTAACACAGAGTTGAATTATCAACACTGAATTTGCTGCCAATTGCCTTTACACTTGAGGCCATTTTAAACATTGAAATCACTAGCAAAAAATGCAAACGTCACAACAGTAAACAGACAGGGAGGATGCCTGTTTACAATCTGGGAGCTCAAACAACTAGGCAGTGCATTGCCTTGTTCAGACTCAGCTGGGAATGTGCACAGCAGGTGACTCAAATTTTTTGCTACTCTGCACAAATCCATGAATGAGGGAAAAAACACAGTATTGATCTGGGGAGCCACATATAAATTTTTTAACAAGTAGGCAAATTCACAAATACAATATCTGCAAATAGGGAGGGTATTTTTTTTCCCAATCTTTTGACCTACTTCTTTCAACTGTGAACTCTATAAGGACTAAGTAAAAATAAGACACTGAGCTATCCTCACCTGATTCTTTTTTAACTTCTCTTCTCTTCTCAGAAGAATCTCCAGGATGGGGATGACAAAAGCAAGCGTTTTGCCACTACCTGTGACCTGCCAAGATGGAGAAAATTTGGTTTGCTTTTCCTCACAGTTCATTCTGCAGGGAAAACAGGAGGACAAGCTGCATTTCCAGGAGGTACTCACCGCCTCTGCAGCGACATCTTTGTTTTTCATGAAGAGAGGGATGGTTGCAGACTATAGAGAAAGAGATGCAAAGCACAGGTTAGAGAATCCCAGACTTCACAGAGGTGGCAGAAAGACCTAGGAACACAGTGGGTGGCCTGGTTCACCCTGGACCCCACCACAATGCAGACTCTGGGTAGAGTCACCACAAGGTATCCCAGGGGTACAGCCACAGTGTCTACAGACAGTGTGGAGGAGACAGCAAGCTGGGATGATTTCTATGCCCTTGGGAAACACACAGCAATGCCTGGAGACCCAGAGGAGAGGGCATGCTGCTGGAACGTAGTAGGTAGAGGCGAGGGATGCTGTTAAACAGCCAACAATGGCCAGGACAGTTCCCCAAAATAAACGATCAGCCAGCCCAAGATATCAAGAGTGCCAAGACCGAGAAACTCTGCTCTAGACCACTGTTGTCCAAAAGAAATATGATGTAACCCACATATATGGTTTTAAATTTTCTGGGAACCATATTAAAGTAAAAAGAAACACATAAAATGAGCTTTACTAATATATATTATTTGACCTAAGAGATCCAAACTACTGTGACTTCAACATGTAATGAGTATTTAAAAGTTAACAAGCTGCATTCCATTCTTTCTTCATACTGAGTCTTCAAAATCCATTGTACCTTTTACATCTGGAGCACATCTCAATTTAGACTCACCATATTTCAAGTGTTCAAGAGCCACCTGTATCTACAGACTCCCACAGCAGACGGCACAGACCCTGACTGCCGATACCGATGGCAGGGGCAGAGCCTTCTTGCTAGTACTACATCCCCAAGTTTCATCTCCAGCCTTCTCCACATCTTTCCTGAGGATCTGATGGACATCTCAACTCAGCATTTCAAAACAGAACTCCTGAATTTCCCTTGGAAACGTGTTACCTCTTCCCACCTTCCTCATCTCAGGACAAGGTACTGCCATCCACGCAGCTGCGAGAGACAAAAACCTCTGATTCCCTCTAGATCCCTTTCTTTTCTAACTCCTCCATCTGGTCCGCCAACAATCTGAAAGCAATCTCAGACTCCACTTCTCAGTAGCCACTGCTTCCTCTCCATTCCAAGCCCCCACCACCTCTCACTCAACAGTAGCCCCCTGACCTCTTGCTTCTCAAAGCCCCTGAAGTCCATTCTCTACACCGCAGTCACCTCCCTTCCCTTCCTACATAGCTCCCCTTTGCACTTAAATATAATTCAAACTCTTCCAAGACCCTGCTTCGCTCAACTCTTATGCTACTCCTGATGCTCCCGGCAAAGGCCTTCGTTCTGTTCCTCCCAGGTCACCTCCAACCGCAGGACATTTACACGGACAGTGCTCTCTGCTGGGATATCCTACCCCAATCACCCCACAACCAGCTCCTCAATCATACCAGTTTCAGCTTAGTGACCCCTTCAGAGGGGCCTTCCCTAACACACCACCTTAACCTCCAGTCCGGGGCCTGTCACTGTCACTGTCTCATCGGTGTGTTTTAGTTCCTCAGGGACACTTACCACCTACTGAAATTACCGTATTCTTCTACTCCTTCTCCCTCCCCTGCATTAGAGGATAAGGCCCATACCTGGAGACCAACACTGCAAAATTCCCAGAGCCTAGAAAACCGGATACACAGCATGTCCTCGAGATTTTTTGAGTAAATGAATAAATTGGGCCAGAACCTTCACTTAGCCCACGTAGTAACAACAGCAGGAAACATTTACTGAGCTCCCGGTAAGGTGCCCATAAGGTCCCACAGCATCCCGACGAGGCACCGCATCTGCCGTGGAAGGCAGCCCACAGAGGTTAAGTCACCGGCCCGAGGTCACACAGCTAGAGCCAGAGGCAGCAGGCGCTCAGGCCCCAGCGCTCCCGGGGAGGGGTCGCGAAGTCAGGGCCCTGGCGCAGGTGCGCCGCCCCCGCCCACCGGGCTCAGGGACGCGCGGCAGACACCTCGCGCCCACCCGCCGCGTGGGACCACCGGGGGCCTGGCCCGCCCCGAGCCTCCCCGAGCCCGAGGACCCTTCCCTGCCCGGTACCTGCACCGGCGTCATGTGCGGAAAACCCAGCTGCCTAAGCGCACCCAGCACCTGCGGGTGCAGCTGCGTCGGCAGCGACTCCCAGGAACCCTCTGTCACGTGCTCCATGGCGCACCCCTCCGCCTGGGCCCCAGCCGCCTGGACGCCACTCGGGCGCCGCCGCCGAGCACTTCCGCTTCCGGCCGCCCTCGGGACCGCCGGCAACCGCGCTCTCGCAGCAAGGTTCCGGAGGGCGGGGAAAACGCCGGGGCGGCGGGAGCGGGAAGGGCTGATCCGCCGACAGCGACGGCGGGCGGCGGGGACCAGGCCCGAGTAGTACCGAGTAGTACCGCCCCGCGCGGCCACCTGGGCTCCGGCGCCCGTCCCTCGAGAGCGGGGCGGGAGGACTGTGCTCCGGCTCGCTCGCTGTCTGCGCCCATCGGAGGCAGGTGGCCGCACAAGACCTGGCCAAGGGACAAGCGGATCTGGAGGGAGTGGACAGAAACGCACCCCAGCCCCGGAGCTCCAGGTCAACAGACCCACTAAGGTTGACGGCGGGTACCCCTGGGTTTACCCCCGAGAAAGTTAGAGCCCCCAGCGAGTACCTGACCTTCCCGCCCTAGTGTTCCCCATTGGCTTGGGCCACTCCGTCCAGGTACGCATTCGTGCGGCAAGCTCTCACTGACCACCAAGCTTCTGCTGCTGCGCCCACGACTTGTTCCCGTCCTTCCAGCAGGACTTTACAAATATCTCAGGAAGGCCTTCCTTTCCAAATCTAGAACCGCGTATTTTTCCTCCACAGCACTTACCATTAGTATGCCGATCAATTTACAAATTAGGTTCGTCTTCCCCACTAAAAGTAAATCCTACCACAATGGGGATTTTTCTTTGATTTCTTTACCTAGTGGCTACAACTGGCAGCACACAGCAGTCACTCAAATATCTTTGAGATGCATAAATGGGAATAGTACTCATACAGATTCCAGTCATCTCAAACTAAATGAAGTGAAAGGTAAAAGCCTGAGACGACGTTTCCACTGAAATGAGATCACGTCTCAAAATACCTTTGACATTTTTATAAAATGGGACTTCCACAGTTCTGAAAACAAACGTGGAAGGAAAGGGCCACACCCGTGTTTGCATTTGAGAATCTACTTAGTAGTTTTCAGACCCTTGGATGCTTTCCATACCTCTTTAACCTATTTCCAAAATGAAGATTATAATAGCACCCAAGATAAGGGCTGTTTTGAGGAATAAATGAGACAGACTGCATACAGTGCTTAGCATAGTGCCAGGACATTCCACTATATTCAACAAATGGTAGTTTATTACTAAAGACCCTTCATGTTAACAGTTTCTAAAAGCAGAGATCTAGTTTCTGATTCCACCAATCTTCACATGAAGGCCTTGAACAAATCATTTAATCCCTACTAAACTTATTTCCACATCCATACACCACCAGCGGAGTTAAAATAACTTTTTTCCAAATGAAAAAAAATACTTCAGATGTTAACATTGAATCATCAAAAGAAACCACACAAGGAACACTTAATATGGGGTTCCTACTCACTGTCCTCAAGTTTACAAAGTGACAGACATCTATAACAGGTATGTAACTCAGAAAACACGGAGGACAGATCTCATTTCATACAGGATTAGAAAGTTGGCATTTAACAAATGTGAATTAATCATTGATATGAAACACAGAATACTGTTTTTAAAAAGAATTGTTTATTTACTGAACCTGGGGCAGATTAGATACATAACCAATTTTAAATGTACATCTTTTAATTTTGAAGTGTTTTCACACACACCAAAAAAAAAAAAAAAATGGCATTGCAACAGTTGTCTTAAGGTAAAATACAGTCACCTTAAACTGTTGCAAGTATTTTCACCCAAGGCTGAAAAATTGTTTATCCTGAACATGAAAACCTGTAACAAATTTAAATTAATTATATAAAACTCGTTACTTGTAGTTTTCCCCTTGCAAAGATCCAAAAAAAAGTACAAGTAACTAATATACATCAGTCACGACATAATGCTGGCTCACCCCCACACCACGACCAGATGTTCCTTTAATTTTAAACCCATCATCAGAGAGCAAGAAAAAGTCATTTCATTTTATACAAAACAAAATCCACATGTGCCAAAAAAAGACCCAAGAAAAACAAAAACAAAACCCTAGTACTGACAGTGACGTTCAGTACCCTAATTAAACAGCGGCTAAAATGCCACTGATCAAAAATAAAATAGTGGCTGTATATCATTGCAATGAAATCCAAGAGGCTTTATTTAACCCTTTGGCATCAGAAATCCAGATTTTTCCAATTATGTGAATGCATACTTCCTACATGCCAAGAGCAGAGAAAGTGGATGTGCCAGCATAGAAAGAAAAGAGCTACCATTGGCTGCAACACCCAGAGAACTGGCTTTAGTAGAGACTTCTTAGAAGGTTAGGCAGAAACCAAAAAAATGGTTATTAGCTGCTTGTGTCATCAATTTAATTGGAGGTGATTGAGTCCTAAGGTTCAAAACACAAATTTAGGGGGGAAATGTGGTTGGGTTAAGTCTTATCTTTAAAGCCAAAACTAGACAAGTATATATAAAAAAGTACCAACCTGGTAACACTCCAGTCAGAGCTCTGCCAGTAGGCTGGGAAGTAAATGCCAAGATTCAGACAGTTTTTTCTCATAAGGACTCAACAAAAAGAATCTTTAATGACTTGAACTGCAGGATAAGAGATCCAAAGAATGCAGTCATTTTAGTGCACTAAGTACTATCCATGAAGTACTTTTCTGAACCGTACTTTATCATGAAAACAAAAAGAAGATATAATCGGGACTATATGCTTGTATCTCATTTAGTGTTGGAGTTCTGACAGACCTGTATAGTGGGGCAGAATTCAAATAAGAAATTATGCCAATCAAGTGTCAAATATTCATTCTAACTTTCCTAAAAAGGTGTTTTCCCCCAGTATCTATTAATCACAAAGAAACATAAGCTGTGAATGTACAGTTCCAAAAATAAAAATGTAGAAACTAATGACATTATTATCACCAAGATGTTTGGTAAACAGTGAATTATGATTTTGAGATCAGGAAAAGGCTTTTTAAACAACCCTCCGGACTTCAAAAAATCTCTTCAGGTAGTAGATCTGTCCCAATGTCATGGCAACTAGAACAAGAGCTTCAAAGAAGGACCAAAGGACCACTCTGCTGTTTGTGTTGTCGTTGACTGTGAGGACAAACAAACAAACAACATTTAACAAAAAAAAAAAAAAAAAGCATAGGCATCATAAATCATCCTAATCTTTAGGAAAGTAATATTTTGCACACCATTCATAGTACTCAATACTTTTGTCTTTTGTCCCCAAGCAACTCAACAAACTTAGAAACAGAAAATTTTAGACTTAAATGAGACGTTAAAGACTCATGGGGTATGGTCAAGCCTGCTCTGCTTATATATGGGGAGCAGAGAGGAAAAGTAACTTGCCCAGCTGCCCAAGTGACTTTAACCTCTAGGGTTAAAACCCATTACAACCTTCTTTCTCCCTCACATCATAATATTCCTACACTATAATCTTTTTTTGCTAAATCAGAAAATTGACTTTTAAAAAATGGAGATTATTTCAAAATCATACAGCTACCTAAAAAGCACTACCTACCTGGTCAAAATGTGTCAATCTAAGTGCCTTTTACCTTAAACATTTATTCAACAAATATTGAGCACCGACTAGGTGTCTGGCAGCTGTTCTAGATGGAGGAGGTTTCTCAGTCTCAGGGACCAATCAATACTGGCAATCACTACCAAACTGGAACCAGTCTCATGATCTATCCCACTCTTAAGCTAACGATGTGATCCTTAAAGCAACAGCCATGACCACCCCTGTAATTTATTCTGCTCAATCTATGCCACATTCTTTCAACTTCTGATCAAATTCTACAGCCTTAACTTTTTAAAATTACTAGGTAGTTTATGATTTTTCTACATATGGCCAATATTAGAAACAGTTATACTTAGCAATATAGTAATGATATTAATCAGCAAAGTAAATAAATAAGTCCCATATTTTAACTATATATCATTTGTAGAACATTAACGAGGTTATAGTATCTACTGGATTAATAAGCACTCAGAAAGTGAAAAGCAATTAACATGTTCCCAAAAAGATAACTTAGTTACTAGAAGGTGTGGCTTTTTTCCCCCAGAGTAAGAAGAAACGCACACCTGGGGGAGTGGTGGTGCCGCCGCCTCCTCCTCACCCCCTCCTCCTCACCCCCGTAAGAGACATACACCCAAGAATATTATTAATTAGAGCCCTAAAAATCACCAAAGCTGAAATTTTTAATACTAATTCCACAGCATCAAGTTTGCTTCTCCTGAAAACTTAGTAACCAATATCCAGCAAAACTGTGAAGAACTAGCATTTTAAGATTTGTGTCTGAAAGGGGAATGGCTGAGTAAACGCTTCAAAATATTTTAAAAATCATGTAAAAAGTATTTCTTTTTCCCTTCACTTTACCTAGAAAATGCGTATATAAGACCCTCTCCTCACACTACTCACACATTAGCCAGATCAAAAGTAACAGAATATTATCACAACACTGTAGTAAAGGGGAAAAAAATGTCTTATTATGTTCATCTCTAAGGAATAAGTGCTGTAGGAAGATGTACAAAAAAACAAACATTTTGGGAACTATTTGATTTGCAAAAATAAACGGAATGCCTAAAATTCTATTTGTGAAAGAAATACAGGAGTATCCTTGTTCAAATTAAGTGTGAGAAAGAGTAAGGCTGGATGGATGCCCCACAGACGGGCAGACAGATCTTCCTCTGCTGCGGTCCCAAAAACCTCCTATAAATGTAAAGCCATCTGGTCTGAACCGGTTAAAATGTAAAACAATGAAAGCTCCTGGCTCTCAGACTCTGCTCAGTGCCCTTTCTCATCTCTCTGGATGGCCCCCTTGGAGAGCACGGTAATCAACAAATGAGTCTCCACCCTGAGGAAGAGAAAGTGGTGATCCCAGAGGGTGAACAGATTACCAGTGGAGGTAAAGAGAAGGAATCATGGTAGAAGAGGCAGGAGCACATGTATACAAGCCGTGGTCCACCTCACTCCACCCCAAAAAGTGAGAACAGGGGCTCCCACTTCTCAATTCTGTTGTGTTTACTCATTACTCTCCCAGAGAAA